TGCAGACGCTTGCGAACGCTTGGCGGACATCAACGCAACGACCTCGCGTCGCCTCCTGGACCCGTGGACCCCAACCTTAAAACGGGAACCCTTCTGCTACGCATTCGGGAAAAGAGCTTTCGGGGTTTAGGCCGGGTTTGTAGGGGGTCAGGGCTTAAACCCGTATACAGCCTACACCCTAAACACTAAACCGCGTGGCTTGAGTGTTAGGTTGGGGGATTGCTGCGCCTAATTGCACGATTGATTCATTCTGCCCGGTTCTGGAGGGAGCTCGCAGTGCTCTCTAGAAATTGCACGATTGAAATGACAAGCCCTAGATCTCTACGTCCTAAGCCTTCAGCCACGCAAACCTTAAACCCCTAGCCCTCAACCCTGAACCCTAAGCCATGTCATACCCATATGTCCGGATATGCCAGGTGCAGAAAGATGCCTTCGATGAGCAGCTTGGCTATGTCCTTCCAGACCTTTCCTTGGGGCTTAGGGTTCTCCTTGCGATTTAGCTTGGACCTTACACCCTTAACCCTTTTGGGATTCCCCCCATGTCTGTATTATAGGTACCTAAGGATTAGCCCTTAGTAGGGGTCCTGAGTGCCACGCAGGGTTTAGGCTTGAAGTTTAAGGGTTTGGGTTTAGGATACTGCAAAAGCCCAATAGATAATTATGGATTTTTGTGATTGTACATTATGGTATAGGGTACCTGAACTAGACTTCAAGATGATACTGTTCATTATTTAGGCCCCTACATTGGCCTTACATCCTATCCTGTGATTAAGCCCTGATATACATGTCCGGTTTTCGTTTTATGTTCCCTTATCTTCTCCCTTTTAATTCTCCGTTACTGGGGTATAAACTCTCCACCCTACACATCCCTATCTATAGAATCCTTACCTTATGAACCCTTTAGCCAAAGCCCTAAACCCTAAACCCTAATGAAACCAAAAACCGGAGCACTTTACCTTTATGAACCCTTACCCCTAGGGCTCCAGTTACCTATGAAGATACAGGTGACTACTTTTCCTCACTCACTAGGCCTGAGTAAAAAAGGGTCTGCATACATACGACAACACTTCTCGAATTGAGCGTGTCATCCCTTGTGCAGAGGCCATGCTTCACCAGCACTCCCCTTTGAACTTCGTTCAAACATACTTCTTGAGGCCCAGACCCCAGGTAAGAGCTGACACTACTGGCCCGACTCCTATAA